ACGTTAGGTGGCAGTCTTAAAGAGACAACCTGTTAGGATTAAAAAAAATTTAATTAGACGTGGAGCCACATTTGTCATCTCTTCAAGAGTCTTCTACGGTCTATTCATAGGTTGTCTTTTGAAGAGACGACCGACTATTTTTCAAGTATTACTCTTAGAAGTAGTTTGATRGATAAAATATTTTTTAAACAAATAAGAAAAAGCAATGTAAAAAAAAAAAGTCCCCAATTGTGAACAAACACTATATYCTAGCAAAATGGAGATGATCAAAATGTTCTAGTGACGAATTATTTTTGTTTGGAGGCATACCAAAAATTCAATAACCATGAGAATATACTCCTACTTTATGGATAAGGTTTGGATATGTGAAAGTCCATACGATCATGTACGAATATTTTATATTAATAATCAACTAAAGCATAATTTAGCGGAGTAAAGTACATGCATCCAATTATGAGGTTGAAAGTTGGAATCCCCTATTGTATTGAAAAAAAATTATATTTAATAAAAAATAATTTCAAAGAAACTATATAACAATAAAACACCTAGTTACCACACAAAAAAAAAAAGGAAGAAAAAAATTATCCCCCAACTTTGCCATYTATTTCAAAAGTATAGAATTTCAAAAATATAAATACTACTGTTGACATTTTATTAACGTTAAAACGACGTGGCAATTCATGTGAAAACTTAGATTCAGTTTCAAGGGAGAGAAAATATAAAAGAATTTGTCACATCATTATAATTATGCTACGTCAACTTTCTATTTAAAATATTAATGAATGTTTATCTCAATGATATTTATSGAATCTTTTTTGAATGTCAAATTTAGTATTGAATTTTTTTATTTTATTTAAATTTTGTTGAAGATAGAGACATTTTGAACCAAACTCAAACTTGGGGGTTATTTATCATTTATTTATTRTAATATAGCCAAATAAAATTAACGAATTAATCTTTGCTCAAAAGAAAAAAATAACGAATTAATCGCTGCACGTTTTGCTCCCGAAAATAAAAAAGAAAAAGAATACCGCATTAAATAAATATATGGTTGGGAGGAAAAAAACAGGAGCCCCGCCCGCCGAGTCGATTGGGAGGTGCAGTGCACGCGCCACTTGCAGTAGTCAAATACAAAACCATCTCACGTATCGTCACGCGCGAATGGCTACTCGAGCGAGTAGGGAAAAACTGAGAACATACACTAAAACGATGCGTTTAATAGAGAAAGCGCGCGGGGATTCGTTTTCAAAAACATAATTTAATAATTAAAAAAAAAAAACTCAGTCTCTGTGTGGTGCCCTGTCTGGGAGGTCGTGCGGTGGAGAAGGCCCACTCTCGCCACCCACCGCTGAATCTTCAAACGCCATCTTCCTTAAACCCCAAACATTTCCCCCTGTAAAAACTTTTAGGGTTCATTCAAGATGTGCACTCCTTCGCAAGCTCAGCTCCATTCTGCCCATGGCGTCTCCTGCTTCTTTGCGGAGTTCACCAAGCGACGGTTTATGCCCCCAAGGTACTCCTCGGAACTCCCTCTCTCTTTCTTCCATTCCTTCAATATGTCTGCAGATTACGTGCGTTTCTCGTTTTTGGCTAACCCCTCTTGTTTGAGGGATTTGTTTCCGAAGGGTTCTTATCGTTGCTGGCATTTTTCTGGATTTGGTTGGGTTTTGTTTAGGGAATTCGTTTCTAATCTTTGGGGTTGTTTTGTTTGAAGCGCAACTGTTTGATTAAATGCCGAGGATGAATAGGAGTTATTTGCAATCTTATCTGCCTAGACTACTAAAACATTTTGTGTGTWTACTCGTGATTTGAATTTGTGCATCTTTTTTGAAGTGCTTGGAGCTGGGTGTTGAATTTACTAGTTCATTTTTTTTGTACTTCCTGATTGGTGGCACCGTACATTTGAAGTTTGCGATTATCATTCTGCCTACCTGTTTCAGATCGTATGATGAATTTTTTGATGTTTGTTCTAGAAACTAATAGGAGTTACTAGCAGAAAACTTTATAATTTGGTTGATAATTGGGATGAGAAGTGTACCCACCATGCTTGGGAACCTTCAGACTCTAGTCTATGGATGCCCTAAGACATAATTCTCACTGGATTGTCTTGTTTGCTTGCTTTAAGCTRTTTTTCTCGAGCAAGGTTATTAGTTATTGGATATTGAATTTGAAGCTATAATTCTGAATCTCCCTGAATCTCCCAAATATGTGAACACAACCCCCCCAGTTTGGGTTGGTGGGTGGGTGGGAGGGGGTCCCTCCGGCCTGACAAGTTCAAATAATTGCCCTTTCTTGCCTCCCAAAGGAAAACAAAGCAAAGGGAACGTTTCTTAAATACTTTCAATGGAGAGAAAGTCATTATTCAGAACTTTGTTTTTGTATATTTCTCAATTTGATATTGCATTGCATAACTTTCAAAAGTCTTGAGCAAGTATGTTGTGGTTAATTTTCAGTACTAATTCTTTTAGTATGGGAAGGAGCGATTTGGAGGTTTCAAGGTAATTATGATGCTGGAAAAGATCAACTGCTCTTGTTCGAGTAAAACCAAAAAAATCAACTATGAATTCTTTACTTGCACGTCGTTTTGCTTAGTGTTGTGAAGTACCATGGTGGTTGTGGTGCTCTTTAATGTGAATGTTGTCATCTTCTTTCCCATTACTGTTCTCCATGCTCAATGAACTGCTTTTGTAAACTTCCTCTATTTTCAATCTCAAACTCTCTCTAATCTGTGCTAGGTTGAGACATGGAAGCCATAGTTGCTGTAAGGTTCATGCAGTTTCGAATCGCTTTTCGTGAAGGATTTGCCTCGATTCGATGGCACTGTAGGATTTTATGCWTTGGTAATATTTCAGGTTTGGCAGAGGGAATGAAGCCACTGGTCCGCTGAGCATAGTGCTGTATGTAATACATTGATATTTTGTAAATTGATCTGATCTCTTTCAATCAAATTGGTTTGTAGATTGAATTTGCAATTTACAATTTCCATACCTTTATCTTTGAGCTTCTTCTGTCTATCAAATGGTAAGAATTTGATAGATATATTAAAAAAAAAAAATGAAGATCTGGGAGCACTGTTTCATGATCCCAAGTTYCTAACCATACTCGGCGTAAGACTTATCTTCCCTCGGCGTAAGACTTATCGTCTTACCTTCTAAAGAGTCTTTCGACTTCATCAAATGTAAGATGATGATGGCTAGCGTATTTATCTTAAGGGCATTTTGCAAGTTTGATTAAATTAGAGCATCCTTTTTGCCATAACTTTTTTTTTTTATTACAAATGTCGGGTGGAAAACCAAACCTTTTCGTCCTCAATATAATTTGTCCTTCATCCATTGTTTTTAGTACAATATGTGGGATACGAGATCGAACTCATAACCTTTTGGTTGAAGATATATGTCAATTACCGTTGAGTTATGCTTGGTTTTATACTTGATTGATATTTAATCTTAGTGTAGGTTGAATTTTGGACTAAAATGTAACTCAAATGTCATGTATCTTAGTATCTTAGTATGTAGATTGTCATATTCCTAGCATAGGAAATAACAAAAATAAAAAATTTCTTTCACCAAAACATTTAGATAATTTTTTAATGGTATACAATAATTATGGAGATATATCATTCATAATGTATAACAAATAATTAATATCAAATTATTAACGTCACATTAATTTGGTGATTCTTGAAACCAAAAAAAAAAAGTGGTCTCTTAAGAGTCGTATTTTATCTAGACCAACCTAAAACATGATTGCATATTTATATATGTGCGAAATTTAAAAATTAACATTATAGTTTTAAATAATTACTGAGGATATTATCTCAAAGAAAAAAAAACCTATAATTAAGGAAGGCCCAAGCCCGAGCCCATGGAAGGTTTAAAGTCCAAAACGCGATACGGTGGAAGCCCACGAAAGGCGGGCTCAAACTCAACCGAAAATCCGAGGGCGGTGCCATTTCTGATTCTACGGTTCCTTCCATTGATTCTTCAGAAACGCTCAATCCGACGAGGAAGCGGTGAAAGAAAATGGTAGTCGAAGAGACGATCAAAGCTACAACCGCAGAAGATCTTTCTAATTCCATCGCAAATCCAAACCCTAAGGGACGAGGCGGTGACGAAGATGAGGAGCTTGAGGAAGGAGAGATCGTCGGGGACGACGACCTCGACTCCTCCAATTCTTCGGCGGCGATAGTGCACCAGCCCCACCCTCTGGAGCACTCTTGGACCTTCTGGTTCGATAACCCCTCTGCCAAGTCCAAGCAAGCCACTTGGGGTGCGTCTATCCGGCCGATCTATACGTTCTCTACTGTTGAGGAGTTCTGGAGGTAGAATTTCTTTTTCTACGTTTCCCCCTTGCTTTTGATTCTTATGTTGATGGTGTTTCTTGGTATTCTTCTTCTTCTTCTCTATTTTTTTTCGAATATTTAGGAAACTTCAGGTGAAAGGGGCGTAAGAGATTGAATTTTCTTCTATGTTTTGTGTTAATTTGATTGTCTTGGTCTTGTTGGATTTAATTCAAAGTAAGCTGAGATAGAGAGGAGATTGTGATTGTTAGGGCTGGAGAGAGGGGGTTTATTGATGGAGAAAATGAGAAAGAACTCTAGTTTTCTCGTTGCGGATATTGAAGGGGTCGAGTCTGTGGACTAACGTTCTTTATTCTATGCTTCGATGTTTCTGCTTGTTGCATTTTCCTGTTTTCGTGTGCATTTCCAATCATTCTGTTGATAATTTTCCTAGGGTTTCGGGTGGCAGCCCCGTTGAAAACTTCATTTTTGACGTTCATGTGAATCATCTTTGTGATTATTCTCAAATTTAGTATGAAAGTCGTTGATTATATTTCTGATGTCTAAACTTGAGAATCAGGTATAAATAAGATGTATTTGCAGTTATTCAAATGATGGTATTAGGAAATTGCTTGGAATTTATATAAACAGCCTTTTCTTCTGCTAATTCATGTGTTATAAGATGCCCCGGCCCTTTTTTCCTCCAGCARCTAAAATTTGGGCGAGGTTAGATGTTCATTGGGAGTAATAGTTTTCAAACCATAATCCCTTCTTGTTTTGCACTTTGCAGCAATGGTTTGCTTACCATCTTGCCTCCTCCCTCTTGTTTGCTCTTTTTTTTCGGTGTTCCTTGAATTCTCTTGGAGTTTTTGACTTCATAAGTCATACTATTGAACAAAATAGAAAGTTGGTATTGGCAAAGCATTTGCATGCGCTGTTTGCTTCGRGAACATTTCTGTCTATATGCTTATTCTGCTGCTTTTCGTAATTATTGAAAATCCCTCTTTTGTCATTGAATGGAATATTAGCTTTAAGGGTCCATTGATTACTTAAAGTTCTAAAATGGTTGCCCCATGTAGATACCATTTTTGACAAGAGTGTTACTGTCTTGTAATATTTAATCTCGTATTTTTAATTGGTTGTTAATTTACCTCTCTATTTGTCCCTTTATTTTCATTTTCCGTGCAATTGATTGACCAATTTGTTCATGTTTTTTCTTGCTTTTAGTGTTTACAACAATATTCACCATCCAAGCAAATTGGCARTGAGGGCAGATTTGTACTGTTTTAAACATAAAATTGAGCCAAAATGGGAGGATCCTGTTTGTGCGAATGGAGGGAAATGGACTGTTAACTTTTCAAGGGGAAAATCTGATAATGGATGGCTGTACACGGTACCACTCAGAAGTGCATGTTCAATTTGACTGACTGACGGTAGTTATTTATGATTTTTCTAATGGTCAATTACTTGTGTCAGCTGCTTGCTATGATCGGAGAACAGTTTGATTGTGGTGATGAAATTTGTGGAGCAGTTGTTAATGTTAGATCTGGGCAGGACAAGATATCGATTTGGACAAAGAATGCTTCGAACGAAGCTGCTCAGGTAATAGCTACCATACCAATGATTTATACACAACCCTTAAGATTTATGCTACATCAATACACTATTCTATTATGGCATGCAAAGTACCTCTGGATTTATGAACAAAACTTCTGGATTGTGTTTGATCATTACTCTCTATATTATTTTTATGAAATTAATTGATGTCTATGCATCTGAAATTCCTTTTTCTGGCCAGGCGAGCATTGGAAAACAGTGGAAGGAGTTCCTTGATTACAATGACAGCATCGGCTTTATATTCCACGTAAGTATGATGATGCTATAATTGATGTYTATATCTATAGGTTACATTTGCATTTCGGATGGTTTTTCCTTGATTGTTTGTTTCTTGTTTCTGACAAAAAGTTGTTTATTTGTTCAGGATGATGCGAAGAAATTCGACAGACATGCGAAAAACCGATATTCAGTATGATCTGTGTAGGGTTTCTAGTGCATAGCTTGGCAGGAGAGGAGGATACTCGTCCTAGTTCTGCATCAGCATGTTAGGTTGAGCTGTGGCTTCTTCTTCTTGTTTCACCCCCACCCTCAACAAACACACCACCAAAAAGAAAAAAACAATGTTTTCTGCGATTAGGAAAATTTTATGTGAGAATCGCCATTGCCCATTACAACACCTGAATCCCAGATTCTTGTTCTGTACCTGACAGTTCTAGCATGAGATGGAACGGGATACTGCTCTTCTGTAATCAAATGATATTAGCTTGAACTGAATGGATATTCGTTTCATTTTTCTTTCTAATCGTGTAGCCCCCTATTAATTCAATCCCAAGAGTCAGAAAACGTAATTGATGTTTAGATAATTTGCTCCTTTTGATGATAATATTCTCCTTCAGCCAATTCTAATACCCGAATCATCGAGGTGCAGAAGCTCCTTTTTTGTAGCTCCTTTTTTGTGACCCAGGGCGTGATGTGGATGCGATCTCCTCTTCGTTGTGAAAGAAGTAATGAAAAGGTCATTCACTTATAACTGATCCGCAGGACGATTAAGTTATATATATTATCAAAATACATTAATTCAGTATTTATATTTTCCTATGTTTGAAAAGGAAAAAGAAAATAAATATGCCATAGTTTGATAAAATTTCGTGATCTCATGTGGGTGCTACTAGCGTTAGTGAGAGACTTACAAGTCAAAAGAATACGGACATTCAAGAATTAAAAAAATATTTTAAACATTTTTTAATCAATTTTTTCTAAGAATATTTACCCCTCACCCAATTTGGTTTAGATATATATATTTACAATTACAAGTAAATTKTTAAACAAGTTTGTTGCAAAGGGAATCAATATAAATGTGCATAGAAGTTAAAACTTGAAAAAATAATTAGCCAAAATTGAACCTTTTCTTGAAGGATTATCATTTATCACCAGGCTTAAATTTGTTTCCAAAATTTGGAACGAAAAGCAAAAACATTTTTGAGTTTAAAAAAAGAAAAGTCTCGGGCCGCGGCCCCCACTTCAGCTATGAAAATTTCGCGCCATTTCTTGTCTCTCCCTCCATAACCTCCTCGATCCCCCCAGGATTAGCTTGGCGGCTGAAGCAAACAAATCCGCCCTCTCAAATTCCCCCAATAACTATAGATTCTGAAGAGCAATGGGGATTCAGGGGCTATTGCCGCTGCTCAAATCCATCATGGTTCCGATCCATATCAAGGATTTGGAGGGTTCTTCTGTGGCGGTCGACACCTACTCTTGGCTCCACAAAGGCGCTTTCTCCTGCAGCAAAGAGCTCTGCAATGCCATACCCACCTCCAAGTATCTCCAGTTTCTCTATTTCTTCTGGATTTGCCGTTTTCTCTTCTGGGTTAAAAAAATCAGATAATGTTTACGATTTCTGTGTTAGTTACTCGCACTCTGTACCCGTATCTCGGATACCCAGTTCGTAAAACGGCTCTGCGAGTTGTCTTGTCCGCTTGAAAGTCGGTTTCTTCTCATTGTTTTGGTCATTTAGCTTGTCTGGATATGAATATTGGTATTGGGGTTGAGGGGCTTTCTTCTTGAAAGTGTCATCTGATGTCTAATTTTCTGCATTATAGTTATAATAGGTTTATAATCTGCCGCTTGATTTTTATTTAGTCGTCAAATGGCATCGGGGCGCTTCAGGTTTTAACAAAATATTGACAGGCATAATGTTCGGTGATAAAAGGTTCTGCTTCTTCTCTTAAGGAGCAAACTGCAAAGCCCATTTTCCTTTTTGTTTAGTCTAAGAATCAGAGCAACCTGGCAGGAAACAAAATCTTGTGCCAAGTGCTTGCTGGCTGCTATAATTCTTGGAAAAAAAATTTAACCTACCATTCTGCAGTTTCTTTGATCCAAATGCAGTGGATAAGAAAATATTGCTCTTCGTTGTTATTTGTTGACATTTGTAAATTGAAAAGCAATATAAACTAAAGAGATGAAGAAAGTGGCTTTGGTAGCAGCATTGTCGAGACTCAATCATCAAGAGGTTTATCGTATATGGGAGTGGTTTTGGATAGCAGTTTAGACAAATAAACAAAATAGAGTACACATATTTTGAATATCGGTTCTGACTTTCTCTATTTGGTTTTATTATAGGCACATAGATTATTGTATGCACAGAATAAATCTACTACGGCACTACGGAGTAAAACCTGTTCTTGTCTTTGATGGAGGTCTTCTTCCAATGAAGAACGAGCAAGAAATCAAGCGGGCGAGGTATGACAAGCATCAACCCACTTGCAGTTTTAGTTTCATAAGAAGTTATTATCGATATTCTTTGGGGATCAATGGTGCTGGTTATTACCCCATATTTTTCCTATTGGCAGCCTTATTCATATTTTCGAAGTTGAGATTATTTTAGACGATAAACATCAAGACTGAAGAGTTGCATTTCTTTTTGTATTTAGTTTCTCAATTTGTTTTTAATATATGGTTTCCACGCTTTTAAAGTCGTGCTTCATCTGAAGAAACTCACTTTTTAGTTTTTACCACAGGTCGAGAAAAGAAAATCTTGCCCGTGCAAGAGAACATGAGAAATCTGGCAATTCTGCTGCTGCCTTTGAGTGTTACCAGAAGGCCGTTGATATAACACCCTCAATTGCCCATGGACTAATTCAAGTAACATACTTTTTCATAAATGTTATGTTAATATTGTCAAAGGGTTGTATGAATTATATTTCAGTGCTCAAGAATGTTTGTAGATTTGACATAAATTCATTCTAAAGGTGTTAAAGCGAGAGAATATATCCTATGTTGTGGCACCTTATGAGGCAGATGCTCAAATGACTTTCTTGGCCATTAGTAATCAGGTTGATGCAGTTCTTACTGAGGACTCTGATCTAATTCCATTTGGCTGTCCAAGGGTGAGCTATACAGAAAGACACTCTTGTATTCTTTTCATTTCCCAATCCCATTGATATTCTTAGTTGTAATCTGCTTCTACTCTTTACCTAATGTAGAATTCTCAATGATTTTTGTTGCTCTGCTACTGTACAAATCAGATTATCTTTAAAATGGACAAATTTGGACAAGGAGTCGAATTTCGATACGAAATGTTACAAAAGAACAGGGACTTGAGTCTTGCTGGATTTACAAAACAGATGATTCTTGAAATGTGCATTTTGAGCGGTTGTGATTATTTGCAGTCATTGCCAGGAATGGGACTTAAAAGAGCTCACGCACTTATCAAGAAATTTGTAAGTTACGATAAGGTGAGTTTGAATATTCAATGATGTTTTATGTTTAAAAAAAAATGTTTTGGCTTTTTGAGAATATGGTGTGTTTTATAGGTCATGTTTTCATGTGTAACRTAATGACTTTATTTAGGTGATTAGACATTTGAGGTACAGCACAGTTTCAGTTCCTCATCTTTATGAAGAATCATTCAAGAAAGCAATGTTGACTTTTCAGCATCAACGGATCTACGATCCTATCACCGAAGATATTGTACATCTCTCTCGAATATCCAATGATATGGGAGATGACTTGGACTTCTTGGGCCCATATCCTTTATTTGGAGCTTATTTTGATTTTCTGGATACTTTAGTACTATATTCTTCTTCTTTAAATGCCCAGGATCAATAACTTAACATATTATACATCGATACCGCAACATATAGCTAAAGGTATAGCAGAGGGAGAGATTGATCCATGTACTAAATTACCATTCCAGGTACATCATATATTTATTACCATCTCTCTTTATCTGATCAGTGACATTTTGGTTTTGGCTCTCTTTTCAGAATTTCCTTGTCTTTGCAAAACCTGGATGTTKCGTGCAACAATTCCTAAACTAGAGGAGTCTGTAGTTGAAATGTAATTCGGAAGCCAGACAAATTTGAAGCAAATTGTAATTCGCTTCATAAGCTAATTCACTTATCCAAAGAACTTATAATGTAGTTTCTATGATATTAAATAGGAATGGAAAACATGTTAGTGCTTTAATTCAGAGTTATTCTCATAAAGTCTGTTTGTTGTATCTTTCCTTTCTTTTTCAACTTCATTATGGGGAGGGGTTGTACGCTAATTTGTTACGTTTTAATGGTCACAGTTCTCTGGTTTCTTTATATGATCAGGAGCAGAATATCAATACTGGAGTGGTGCAGGAAAAACCTTACAAATTAAAAGAATTTAACGCTGGAAGTGTAAAGAAAAAGCTGGATTTACCAGTGCAGAAGAATGTCCTGACGAAATACTTCTGTATCCGTGGCAATGTGTATTATATTCTTCTTATCCTTTGTTACATAGGCCTTACTCTAGCTTCAACTGTTATACTTCATGCCTAAGCAATACGCAGGGTTACAAATAATAATCATATATGAGGGCATCCTTGCAGGATAGAATTGGGTGGATGATCTGTTCCCATCTTATTATTCACTTCTTACGAATACTAGGCAATTCTTCTGCTTTTCTAAACTGTATTAGCCGACTTTGCTATTTTCGTACGTCAAAGGCACTCCTTACCGCATTCACAAATGGTATCATTGACCAAAGGAATGCCATCAATTAAGTCTTAGTTCAAAAGTTTTTGGAAGAAAGCCACATGGTGATAGATCCCAACTACATGAAGTACAGAAGTAATGCTCTGGTACCATCAAGGATCTATGTTGTAAACATACATGTGTGATGTGTGTGGTTGTGAAATGTGAGGTGTGGAATTGTGTATACTGCTCTTGTCAATGATTAAGCAACTGAAAAGGGAATGCTTTGTTTATAGTGCATTGTCTTTTCAATTAATTGTCTTTTACAATCACAAGTTTGGTGTTTGAGTGAAAGTGGGTTGTCAAGTATTTCTTAACTCCAACAGGTTTTGCCTCTCTTGAGGCCAAGAGAAAATTTAGGGCACCAAAGCTATCAGCTAATCACCCAAACTCCAGGGATGACTACTCAGTTTGTCCCGAGGAGCGGGTTGGTTGCGAAGATAGCTGCCTGCCGGCATCTACTACTCATCACTCTGTACATGCAGAGGGTTGTCTATCTACTTATCCTGTAAGAAATTAAACTGACTTTGGTTCTTGAAAATATAATGTGAACCATGCTCGTCTGTTGAAACAATCTTGATCTTTCTTCTTTCTTTAATTCTTCTGAATTAATCAGGTAAGAAATGATAATGCAGCAGGATGTCCTCTTTCTGATTCTTCCAGTGAGGGCAAGGGTATGTGTCTCTCTATTCTGAAGAATCACTTTTGACTAGATTATGTACTTATTTTTTGTTTCATGAATGTGAAAGATATGGTAAATAACACAGAAGAAGAGGAGCATATTTTACTGCAGCAGCCCACTCAATCAATTCATAAGCCTTGTATAACTCTGCATAAGGAACCCGATTGTGAGATCCTTCCTGATACGATGGGAGAAAAAGTGAGGAAAGAGAATAAAAGAATCATTGTAAGGAGTTCTTACTTTAAGCACAAGTCAGAAAGCAATGATGAACAGGAGAGCAACCAAAAACTCTCTGACCAGAATAATGCAACTGTTGATATGCACGAAACGACCACTTCCGAGGTTGCCTCTTTTACGAGTAACTCTTACGACAGTTCAATCACAAAAAGGAAAGCCTCCCCCAATGAAAACATTCAAATAGTAAGTGCTTTTATGCAATCCTTTTATTAAATTGGCCTAATTAGTACTTACTAATAGTTGGTGTCTTTTTCAGGACAATATGAAAACTAAGCATTTGTGTAAGGATACGTTGCACCCTTATCATGGTAAGTGTTTAATAAAAGCTTCTTGCATTGTTGGGATTCTGAGGGGACGGTTGAATTTTTTTTGTTTTGAGCTTAATCCGAATTATGCTGCTTCCCTTGTTATTGCCCAAGAATTTGTCAGAGAAGTTTTTATTTTTTTCTCAAGTCGTTTGTTCTTTTTTTTTTCGGTGGAGTTTGAGTTACTTTGCTTGTGAACTAGATGAAACAGTTTTGAAGACAAAAACCGAAGAAGGGAAATTTGGATCCAATATTTCTCATTTAAGTCATTACTCAGACATAGCAGAGAAATCAATGGAACAATTTGTTTCCGTAATATCATCATTTCGATTCTCGTCCGGGTCTCGAGCCAGTGGTCTCCGTGCCCCGTTGAGAGATGTTCAGAACACCAATACCAATAGGTAAAAAATATAATCCCTTTCTTGATCTTCAAGGTCATGGACTTGTTATCTACTACCAGATTCATCATCTTGGACTTGTTTCCAATTTTATTGAAGGTCTGCTGCTACTGCAATGGACCTCAGCCAATTTGCTTACGTACCAAATAAGCACAGGGCTCCCTTGCGGTTCCGAAAAGGCCGAAGTTGATCAGTATTTAAGCATATCTTTTCGGTTGCATGAGAAGGCATGACTCCATCCATTTTATTTTATTGAATGTGAGTATGAACATTCTCATTGATTCTTGCTACTCACCTGCTACTTGTATTTCTAGATTTATCTGTTTGGTTTTATTTTAGAGCCAAACAAGAGTTCACAAATGGTTCATCTTCGACTGCTCGGAGTGTTTCGGCTACGTTGTAACCTGCAGCCTATCCCTGCTTCATGTCTGATCTGTAAGTCTAAATGTTTCCTAATCAACCATATTCTTGAAATTTCAGGCACGTGAATATAGTTACTGTCACCATTGCTTCAGATCCTTGTTGGAATGTTCTTGAAATGTTCCTTGTTGGATCTGGATTTGTTTCATCAATGGCATGCACATGTAATTACAAAAACAATTGAAGTGATATATGACAAGTGATGCGTTTGATTCAACTCCTGAAGTTTCATGCATCTGAACAGTTGGTTTCTTTTTGCTTTTGTTTTCTTTCTAGAAAGGAAGTGTTCGTTCCCTTTTTCTTCAAAAGAAACTAAACACATTTTTATGTCTATGTTATTTTGTCAATATTTTGGTATGCGAGTTTGATAATGCTCCTAAAAGAGAGAAACCAAGAACATGAAAACAGATTATCAAATGCACATTTGTAAAAGAAAAGGAAGCTTACCAAATAAATAGATCCTCAGATATCAAATCATAAACTAAAGACTTCAATTCTAGTTAATAATTGGGGTGGGTTAGGTTTGTGTCTCTTGATAGACAGAGAAGTTGAACTTATATTTGGTAATGAGCTTGATTTTACATCAAAGTTTAGACTTGTAAAACTCATCTTTTTATATTATGTGCTAATCTATATAAATTATTAATTTACCAACCAAATACAAATACAAGTTATACAAATTTAGGCTTCAATAGCCGATTCCTTTCTACAATTTAACATTAGAACTTGTCATATGACACTTGAGTGTCACAGTAGAGAGGAGTACATAAATGAATCGATATCACATCCGAATAAGAATGAATTTTGAGATRATGGAAGTATGGTTTAGAAAAGTTTAAATGAATGGATAGTTATTACTTATATTAAAAACTGCATCTTTCTTTTTGGTTCATCAATTATAAGAATTTCAAATTTAAGTGTGATTGGCTTGGAGTAATCTCAGAYAGTTCCCGTTCTTTTAAGTAGCTTGCAACTAGGTCGCAGGAAAATATTGAGGCAAATAGGTGCYGAATCCAGATTTCGAATTTTGGTTCAAATCTTGGGCTTGGGACGTTACATGTCAACTCAAAATTAGAAAGCAAARYTTATTGAAATCGTGAGTCTAGCCATAAATTTAGACATATGACAACATTTTACCTTTTTAAAAMAATTGAATTTTGTTGGTTGGTATGGTACGAGAGAAGTTTGAACCTCTAACTTCAAAAAGAGTAAGTGTCAATTAGTACTTAACTATACTAGTGTCCACGTTTCGTTGTACCTTCAGTTTAGGTGTAATGTTAGAAATAATAATAATAATAATAATAAATTGCCTGAAGTAGTTATGAAATGATTAAAAGAAGGAAAGAACACAAAAATTTACTAAATTAGGAAGATTAAAGTCTTGCACATTATATTTAATACAAAAAGACAAAAGCTAAAAAATTTAAAATTATTGTGAATTCATTTTCCCAACCCGCAATTCACTCTGGGAAAGCTTTAATTCCTCATATTTTGGTTGAGTGAAAGCAACCCCTRTCCACTCGATAAACCCCATTCTAATATATTATTTTTCTGGGGTTGTATTGTAATTTTAGTAAGTTCGGTGACTCGATCGCAAAGTGCTGCTACATTTGTCTTTACGTGAAAACTTGGAACATTAAATATTAGGCCAATTCAATTGGATGAAGCAAATTTTTGCACTTAATTCTTACGATTTAACTATGAGAATTTTTAAATTTATTTTTCCGAATTTATTAAACCATCCAACTAAGTTAACTTGAATGAGGATGAAAAAAAAACTTATTAAAATACATTTATAGTCCAAATTCTAGATAACATGCTCTCGTCTAGTCTAGAAGTAAATAAATAGGCATTCGATGACACTAATCGAGAATATCCGTAATAATTGATGAGATTGACCACAACAAAAAGGTACATTATTTGCTAAAGCGAGCATAACTCAACGCTAATTGATATTTAATTTTAATTCGTGAGTTTAATCCTCCASCTCTSCATGTTGTACTAAAAATATAAATTACCTTATTTTTCCACCAAAGACATTTTCTTATATCTTGATAATTTTTTAATGCTTGCTTACCTGTATTAGAACTAAATTTAATTCTTTTTATTTTTTTTCTGTAAGGATTCAAATGAAACAACTATTATTATATATAATTACTACATAAAAACAATTAAGGAAACTGATATTTGTGCCGGCGCAGTGGAGCAACTTCMGCTGACGATCTCTYATCTTCATGTTTATTTGTTAAAATCTTATGCTAATTATWATATATATAAAAATAAAAATTTATATGTATAAATATGTGTCAATTTTTAAAACAGGAAAAAGTTTTATTTTGCATAAATAAGTCTTCTTTCTTTTTTTCATAATTAGAGATATATTAGTGAGATATTCCAACCCTGGTTTTCTAAAAGTAAGATTTTTCCTGATGATGTCCGTCCTAACCTCAGCGAAATTATTTTCAATTTATAAATAGTCTCTTTARTTTAATTGTYACAGACAATCTTAAATTTTTCCTATTTTSAATGTATAAGTATTTTATTATAAATTATTGTAAGGATGTCTTGTTTCTTCTCTATAAATAATCAAAATTTCAAGATTACTCTTTCTTTTATATGATTTTTAATTTAGATTTTACCAAGTCTAAAAAATTTCTGGATTCACCACGGTTCAAATTCTCGACTTTTCAATAAAAAATAAATGTCTTAATAAGTTGAGTTATGTTTACGTCTAACTCGTTGGATGGAAAATTATGTGTATAAACTGTGTGGTTATCATTTTTGGAAGGGCAGTAATAATTTAGTACCATGGTTTTTGTATGTTGAAGGCCTCTGTAAAGAGAGCTCACTTTTGTGTTTTGTCACAAGAAAAATAGAAAGTGTTATTTTTAGAAAGAAAACTGTTTCCTTTGAATTTTGAATGTGAACTCAGTCACATAAGAAAACAACGTCATCTCTGTTTTTTTCCAATAAAACGGAACTCACCAAACGCGGAAATCTCATTATTATTAAACTATTTTTTAGTGCAAAAAATATGATTTTTTTATTGAAAATAAATGTCTTAATTAATTGTGCTGGACTCAAATTAACTATTATTAAAATACTTTGGATCTTAGGTTCTCGTTTGATTATTAGAAATTAAAATGACGATCGATGAATAGTCRGAATAAAAATCAACCGAAATTATTGAAAAGATGTGAGACTCGTCAAATAAAGAATAAGAACAGAATTGTTGAGGCTTCAGGGGAGAAATAAGATTAACTTACATTTTAGTAAACTCTTCAAAGGTAATGAACTTCTTTGAACTTTACGGAAATTAGTTAGATATCTCTCCCATCCAAGGTATTACATGCATTGGATTTTTAATAACCCTGATTCTTCCACGTCACTCTTAAATTATGTCCAATTGGACCCCACTCGAAACACCTATTGTAGGGTAGATGATAATTGAGATGGCAAACAGGGGTTTTTATCTCCTTAGGATGTGTYTGAGAGTGATGATAGAATGAAYGTTTTTGAAAAAAGATATTTAAGTATAGTTGATTTTCCAAAATTACCATTCAAGTATACCTTAAAAATCATTTAATGTGATTTTAAGCTTTTATAAAATCAATTTTTTTAATTTGCCAAACATGAGCAAAAACTGATTTTGACAATAACAAAAGTGATTTTCATGCCAAAATCACTTTTGTTATTATCAAAATCATTTCCCTTTCTATTGTTCAGGTTTGACAAATTAAAAAATTGATTTTAATTGAGGATTCTGTCGCATGTGATGGCACATAGGCGAGTGATTGGGAAAATGGAGTTCTCTATGTATACCAACAATGGAAGGACGCTGRAGGGACGAGATTTGAGTCGATTATGAAATTCGATTATTCAAATGATCAGATTCTTAGAGACGTGATCAGAATCAGAGTGGTGATGAAATCTCTAACATCATAGTCAAAATCACTCCCAAACACATCCTCGTTAAATTATAATCATATATTAAAAAAATCAAAACTCACAATAAAATATATCTATGAGGTGCTTTAATAACAATTTCGTTTTTTTTTAATTAAGCTTAAGAATAAACTTCACTTTGTATTTTTTGTTTTGTTTTGTTGTCTATAATTCTTAAAAATGTTTGCAAAATGTAACCCAAACTTTAAAAGTTTTAAAAAGGTAATTTTTAAAAATTGATGTTATTTTTTCAATTTGACTAAGATTTGAATATATTTGTAAGAAAGATAATGGAGGAAAAAAAAAACGAAACCAACGTAATCTTGAGAACAACAAATCATTTATCATTGTTTTCTATTTAATATTTAGTTCCTTAATTTAATATTTTTTTCAAATACAATTAAAAGTAACACACCAAATGCAAGATTTAATATAGGCTAAAATTGAGAAGTTATAAATTAAAGAATTAAAATATAAAGCGAAAACAAATTGAGTGATCAAAATTCAAAATAACTTTCCAAAATTCAGAGAATACAATAGGAAATTGGTAAAACTAAAGTAAGCTACATTTAAACCTTAACCCAAAAAAAAAAAAAAAAAAATTATCTAATCACCGTACTCAACAAGTCTTCTCGTCAGAAGCTGCAGCAATACAATGGCTCGTTTCTTTGAAAACAAATCCCAATCCCTCCCACAAAATTTGACAAACTGAACTTTGTAAATACAATTTTTAATTCCGATTATTTT